AGGTGACATCAGGAAGGCAAATGCACATTACTATTACATTTTAAAAGCCCGCTGAGCTGCTGTATAAATTGGATTCAACATTTAATATTTATTTTAATAAATGCCCTATCATGTCTCTCTTGGGTGACTCTCAGCAATCCCTGGGAGATGTATAACCAATTCTTAGACTCCAGGACAATCTTGGAGGGTTGGCAACCCTAAGCAGCACTCAATCCTGACTAATGAGTATTCAATAATTAAATGTATCATACCAGCCCGGCACAGAAAGAGAAACAGTGGATTTGATAGGAGCTGTAACTTCAAACATCCTGGTGTCGGGCATTTAATGTCTCACCTGGACTGTTAATTAATGCATTTTGGGGGGTTACTGGCTGCAGTGGGATTTTTCTCTCTCTCGCATGCACACACACGCACACCTAACCAGTTATTCTAGGCATTAAAGCCTAGTAAATGTTTAATAACACACAGTGGCTTCAGGTGTGCCCTGGGTAGGTACAAGCTGACCTATGCTGCTGATTTCCTTTGTTTTGGTTTTTTTTTCCCTGCTTGCAATTCGGATCCGTCTCTCCTTCAGCCCTTCCCAGTCTCCTTCCCTCCAGCTCCGATTTTCAAAACACCTGGTTACTTTCTTGTTTAGCAAACACACTCTGTTAATTTGACAAGAAGGGCCATTTAGCAGCCTTTAAACCTTTAACAAGAAACCAGAGAGCCAGGCATGCTGTTTCTGTTTAAAGTAACCAAAGACCCTGGATGCAGGGACTCAACCGTGGCTGCTCTGGAGATGGTTTTGATGCTGGCTTGGCAAGTCCCAACTTTGCAGCTCGTGCAGCAGAGAGCTGGTTTTTGCATGGAGATCTCCTCCACGATGCTTTGGAAGCGGTATTGGCCCCCCGCGCCCTTCGTGGTAAGTGAGCCACGGCCTCACGGATATTTGTTTGTGCTTTCAGGAGGAGCATGAAAAGGAAAGCAATGTTCACGTGCCCCTTCAACAGCGACTGCAAGATCACCAAAGACAACCGGCGGCACTGCCAGGCCTGTCGGCTGAAGCGCTGCATCGACATTGGCATGATGAAAGAGTGTAAGTAAGCAAAGGCCGTGGGCTCATGGGGGCCAGGGATTGACCTTAGGTCTGCAGTAGTTCATGGGTGGGTCTTGGAGGCGCGCTGGGACAGGCAGTGGCCTGTCAAGTAACTTTCTTCGGCCCCCTTGGAAAATTCCATCTTAAAAAAAGTTGGCCTGACTCTTTCTAAAAAGATCTATGAGAGGCTAGGCTTTTTGTGGATGGTCTCTTTTATTGGTTGGGAAATTTTAGACCACTTTCCAGTGCACGGCATTCTTCTTCAGGTCACTGCGTTCTCCAATGCCCTGCGTTAGAAAGATTGTCTAAACCCAGCCCAACCATGCAGCTGGTCTACTAAAAGGTATTACTCTCCAAAAATCCTCATCTCATATATTTCCTAGACTAGAGTGTGGCAACTGAAGGCATTAGGCTTGGCATGCGTGCCTCAGGGCAGACGGCAGGGAAGGGGGCCAGGGCTGCACTGCTGCAACAAGGATCGGGCCCCTCGTGGCTCCCTTGCCATCCACCCAGAGGTGCACGTGCACCCACTACCAGCAACGAGCCAAGCCGGGGTTCCACAGACCCCAGTGCAGATGCTTTCATCCTGGCTCCCTCGCCATCTGCGCAGAGGTGCATGTACACCCACCACCAGCAATGAGGCAAGCCGGGGCTCCACAGACCCCATTGCAGGTGTTTGCACCTGCTGTGAGCAGCCTGGGCTAAGTGGCAGGGGCCTGCCCGGAGCCCAGACCAGCTGTGGCAAGCAGTCAGGAGTGCGTAGTCCCGGCCCAATTCATTGCTGGTGGTGGGCGCACGCGCACCTTGGGGCAGATGGCAGGGAAGAGGTCAGGGCTGCACTGCCACAACGAGGATCAGGCCCCTCCTGGCTCTCCCACGATCCACCCTTGGTATGCCATCATCTTACAAGTCAAGGTTGGTCTGTTTTTAACACTGCCCAAAAATGTTGCCGACCCTGGTCCTAGACCATCGTGGCTGCAACACTGATCCAACGCTAGATCTCTGTGTATTTTTGGATGCCAACCTGGAGATCTTTGAAGGGCATTTCAGAAAGTACTAGATACCTATTGGATGTCTGCGTGGACACTCCTCCAAAGGGACCCGATTGTTCATTTTTTTTCATCCAGGAACAGTGTCCAAGAATTACTCAGCACTGTCGTGGAATAGACAAGTGAGAGTCTGCAATGATGTATGAAATAGTCCATGCATAACTTGCCCTTCCCTTAATTTTTAACTTGGGAAGTAACTAGATGGTGGTGATTCATAGAGAAGGACTGAGGGTTTTGTTTTTGTGGGTTTTCTTTCAATATTTGCTTGGCTTAGAGTTGCTGCGGCAGGCCAGATCAGAGGCGAAGTGCATCCCTCTTCAAGAAAGACTTATCTGGACCAGGGGACTTGTAATACAGAACTGCACTTGTTTAATTTATCCAGCAAATTTCACACCAGTGGCTCAGATTAGACCAGTTTGTATCCCATGTACATGTAAGCGTCAAGTGTCTTCTGTTTGTTTGGAAGGGTAGGTAATGTTTCTGGGAGGAATTAATGGTTGATAAGAGTTGATTAATGATTGAGATCTTTTTGAGCCTGCTTGTTGATAGCAATGTGACGATAGACTTGACTTCATGGAAGAACTTCATTGAGCTAAAACACAGCAGGGTCTACTGTCTTCCAAGAGAGTGTGCAGTATGTTTGTCAGTTTGAGGTTGAACACTGCCTAGGTTTGCAAAAAGGTATTGCCACCCGCCCACATTTCATCTGGTCTCTCTGCTAAAACTCATTTCCTTGGCATATGCTTTATTGCATATGTTAAATATTCATCCTGGACTACAAATAGGAGCTTAAAGATCTTTCACTTGGTTCTTAATGTAGCCATTATGAGCAGAATTCCTTGGTGGGTTTTTCCCACTTGAATGGTATGCGTTGTTGGCAATTTTTTCAGACCGCAGCTTTTGTGGCCTCAGTTCTTGTTGACATTGTGCTGTATGTCCAGCAGCTTGGGGAAACAGCAAGGAAAAGTCCACGAGTGTTTTAATTGAATCCAAACAGACCAAGGTTGTCTAGAAGATTTTTTTTTCCAAGTTTCCCATTTTAATTACAGAAACATAGCTCTCTTAAAAATCAAGCGTGGTCAGTATGGTGTTTCTCATACCTCCTTCCTACAGAGCACTTTCAACCAGTGCTCAACTCAAAATGATACCCCTCCATGAGGACAGCCCGGCTCTCCAAGTTTTTCCGGCCCACACCTGCCAACCAGGGGTGTGAGACCAAAGCTGTGTAAGCAGTAAAAGACCTTGCCCCTGATTCTCCACTGCCTGGCTCCATCTATGGCTCTTTCAGAGCGAGCCTGAAGTGTTAAGCTGCCAGCCTCTTGTGCCCATTTTGCCCATGTACAAATGACACAAAGGTCCCACACAGGGCAGTTGGGCTTGGCTTTGCCCCATGGGTTTGTAGTGGGGAGAATCCCGGTGCCTCCTGAGTCTCAGGGTGGGGGGGGGCACCAGCAGGGCATGCCTGGAGCGGAGGGTCCCCCAGCGGACAGCCAGCAACTGGGAGAGGTCCCCCAGCAGCTGGTCACCAAGCACACCAGCTGTCCAGAGCCAAACTCAGTGGGGGCATGAGCACTCTTCTTGCCCCGCTACCAGCTGGAGCACATGCTGTCAGGAGGGGCACATGCCCCCCCCTTGGCTCTCCTACGCCTCGCCTATGCTTCTCCCCATTTGACCTCTCATTCAGAGGAGTATGTGTATGGCAGTAGGATTTAGTGAAGCTAATAGTGTCCCTGCTGCTCCCATCTCAGTTGGGACATGACCTCAGATCCCCTGGTAAAAGTGGAGGCTGCATGGACAGCTCTGCATATCTGTTGCAGCTTTGCTCAGAGAGCGCTTTTGCTCTCCTCCAGCTGACCTGGTAGGTCATGTTGGGAGAGGCTGCCTGTCCCTGCAGGGAGAGCAGACATACAAGCACACAAGACGACCTGTCACAGGTTGATTGATGGATGTAAAAAAAAAAAAAAAAATCTAACCAGCTCGGAAAATTTAAGTGGTGCCTCTCTCCTTAGTAGAGAACAAACAGCTCCCTTACATAACAGGGCGTAGCAGAGGGACTTCCCATGTGTGCTTTTAAGAAAACCAGAGTTTACCCCAATGCTCTAGAAAATTCAGGTCAAAGACTTTCCTTCTTCACAAGACGGTACCAATAAACTCGTGTAGTCTGTGAGCCAGGGCCCCGTCTAGAGATACAAGAGCCCTGAGCAGAAATAGAGCCGGCAGCCGGAGTGTGGTGGGGTCTAAAATGTCCCACGCTGTTGGATTCTAGCATTATTAGTGTCTACACTGCAAAGCTAGCTCTGGCACGTGGTGTTAAAACTTGGGGGTACCAGGGGTACTGCAGGATACTGTGCTGTCCTATATCAGCACGGCAAACAGTCCAGAAAGCTTTGTTAGATGGCCAAAACCTTGAACTGTCCTAGCTTTTCAGTAAAGGAACAGAGAACAAATGATTGTTTTAATGATTGTTTGATCTTGGCACTTCACTGCAATAACATGTATCAGAGAGGGATAAAACAGTATTTATTGTGCATTAAATCAGGCTTTTCCAAATACATGGCCAAGCTTGTTCATGGCATTTCCACAACAGGAGGTGACCAACCCCCTTTGGCAACCTGGTGTTTTTCCACTGACATGGTCTTGTAATCATTATACAAGCAGCCTTTGAGGGAGCAAATATGTTGTGCTCTGTTTAAAACAAAATCATCTCAATGTACCAAGCAACCTGGATGAGCTAATGGCGTTGAGTCCTGGCACCCATCTGAGTGCCGGCTGAAGCAGGAGCAAGTCAGTTGCAAACAAGGGCATTGCACCCAGTGGCTGCTGGCTGGTGAGGCCAGTGGGACAGTTGGGTAGTGGTGTCACTGGGATTTGGCCTTCAAAGCTGGGCTGTGTGCTGCCTAGTATTTAACTTGCAAAGGATCTGTTTAGCAAAGTATTACTTTATTAATGAAAGCTAACCCAGAGTAACTAAAAATAGCCCTTGCCAATGGACTTTGCTACTTGTTAACAGGACAGGAACCTGCTGTACTTTTGGTTATTTTTAGGCCAAATCAGGGATTTTTTTTTCTAACTCCATGCACAAGGAACTCCTCTTCCTACTGCTGCCTCCTTTCCATGGGAGATCCCTCCTGCCCAGGTGCTTCAGGAGCTGGCGGTAGCAGCAGAGAGAAAGTAAGCTGGTTTTGATCAGGGTGTGAGATGGGAGGAAAAAGTGGGGGAATCCAGAGAAAAATGGCATGTAAGGGAACAAGGAGGAGGCAACATTTGGGATCAGTAGGGGGTGAGCCACCTTGCTGCACCTGACCACCTTCCAGGTTCAAAGTGCCTCCCTAGGGGTGCCTCACATCTGGCTGACCCCCTTCCTGAAGCATGCCTGCAAGCCTGGGGTAACGCCACCACCACCCAGAGTCCAGACTGATCTTGGACCTGCATCCTCTGGGAAACACAAGCCTAGTGGTCCTTGAGGGTACTTGACTCACTGCAAGAACTTGGGGCGCTTCCCTCGCTCTGAAGCACAAATAGTGGTTTGCTTTAGTCAGCTGAACCGAGGGGACCCCAAGGCATAATCTAGGCCCTCTTCTGGATGAGCGGCCTTAACTTGAGATCTAGGAAGAGCTACTCTGAGTTGTGATGTCGCTGCAGTGCTCATTGCCTCAGCCCAAGTATGTTCTCCTGCTTGTGTCTGCAGCCCACACACCGAAGCCCTTGCTGGAAAGCTGGCTCTATGGATGATCCATCATTGTGTGGCACATGTTGGGAATTAGGGATGTGAAGGGGTGTGGTTCTAGAGGGAGGGATGCTACATGGCTTGAGCAGCCAGTGGGAAGACGGTATCAGCAGCCACACTTGTATCTACTGAGGCTTTGGGGAAACTGAGGAGCAAGAGGGCTGGGGTTTTCGCCCCTGGATGTGACTGGGATAAAAGGACCCCAAAATATGAGAGGGCTAATA